AGATAAATGGTGTACCATTAAAAGGAGTAAAACCAGGGCCTTTCTGGTGGCTCAGGGATTAGAGTCTCTGTGCTATCAAGCTATTGCCAGCCCCTGAGGCATGAGTTCAATCCCCAACCAGGGAGCTGTCCCACATGGCGCAGCAGACCTCTCCTGTCTCCCCGCTGCTCCCCTCAGCAGTGGATTTCAGTCAGTCTGCCTGTTCTGCTCCCCACTGTCTCTGGTGAATCCTCTCACCCCCGCACCTCTGGCCTACACCCCAGTTCGTATATGCATAAATAAATAAATAAATAAATCTTTTTTTTTTTAAAGGAGTAATACCACAAGTAAATTTTTAACAGGGATATTTAGAGACATATCAGAGCACAGGCCCTGCCCTGGAGGATGGTTTTCAGGTCCCTGAGTTAGAGAGTCTTGATCGCCATTTTTTTCACTAGATAAATATTTTTTTTGGTCCACATAATGCCGAGAAGCTGTGGTTAGCAGTGGTACACGGCTCGCTGGGACAGGGCCTGTCCTCTAATGTTCACAATGGTCTAGTAATAAGCCAACCATACAGGAAATGATTTGAAATTATAGTGGTATATATGTAATATTATAAGAACAGAGACAATTGAGTATTTTCTGCTACTGAGACAAGTGAAGCCAGAAATTCTGTAAGTCTATGGGGTTGAAATGAAAGTTCACACACTTATTTGACAGCAGTGTTATTTTCCTCATCATCCTCTTGGCACCTGGAACTGTTCCCCAGGAACACTGTAGAAAGGGTTGTGAGTGAACGGAAATTCTCCAAATGGATGGATCAGTGGGAACACCCAGGGATTATTCAGACCATCCCTGGAAAGGTTGAGTCAGGATTTTAGAGCAGCTTTGTAGGAAAATGATAGTTGTATTAAAAAAAAAAAAAGGAAAAAATTGAAGGAAGGGAGGAAGAATAAAAGACAAATGTATATATTGGAAGTTTTATTCCAGTGACAAGCATGGCCTCATTTGGGGAGTAAAAAAAGTTAAAAATCATAAAGAGGGTGACAAAAAGTCAGATTCTAAGACAGTTTGGTCTGAAATCATAAAGAGCATTAGATAGAAGCCATAAAATTTAGCCAATAAGAAATTTTTAGAAGTGACTTCAGCAAGGCATACTGTAATTACATTGTTTCCGTAGAATGACTGTTGTGGTAATAATAACATGTGAGGGTATTTTGAACTGGGTTGAACCCAATTGTCAGAAGGGTTCTAAGAAGAAATCACTCAGATGGATGATTTAGATATGATGGATGATAGAAGTGGAGACTCAGTGGCCACTGGATCTTTATGTAGGCAAAAAGAAAACAAAATGGTAAAAACATTAACTGAACAAAGTGAAAGATGAAAATTTCAGTTACATGAGTTGTAGTAATGGTTATTGTTATTAATGGGGAGCTTACTATATGATAATTACTTGTTTAAGTTAATTTAAAAGGAGCATATTAAATAAGTTAATGTAATACTCATAGCTACCCTGTGATATAAGTACTATGAATATTTTCAATATAGCTATGAAGAAATTGAGTACAACAGAATTTAGTAATTCACCCCATGCTGAAAGTTACGAAGTGGCAGAACAGGAATTGAAAATCATTTAGTCAAAGTCTATAATGCTGGTTCAGGGACAGGTTGGCTTCAATAGATAGTGACCAGCAGTTGTTAGCCTGTTTCTCACCTTTAAAATTTGTGAGATATCGGGCCTCCCTGGTGGTACAGGAGGTTGAGCGCAGCGCTGTGAAGCTGTCCGCAGACTCTGTAGTGCCGGTTCAATCCCCACCAGCCACGGAGCAACCCACATGGCGTGACAGGCTTCTCCTGTCTGGCCCGCTGCTCCCCTCAGCAGTGTATTTCAGTCAGTCTGCCTGTTCTGTTCCCGGCTCTGTCTCTGGTGGATCCTCTCACCCTCCCACACATCTGGGTTGTACCCCGGTTCTTGTATAAATAAATAAATCTTTAAAAAAAAAGGAAGACAATGCCCATATTAAAAAAATTGTAAGCTATCAAAAGCTATCATCAAAAGTATGCACTTTTGAGATTATAATATAATATATACATGCAATATTTATAAAAATACTGCAAAGTTGGCCAGGAGAGAATGGCGATGTATAGAAATAATTTATATTTAATCTATAAAGCAGAAGTAGATTATAAGCTATCGAGTAAATTATATACGCTAAGGAAATCAAAACAGAGTTTATGAAACTATTTTAAAATTTATGATTAATTCTTTACAAAGTTCACATTTCCAGTCATACGATAAACCTTGCCAATATAATATGGAGCATAGGGACTGTGGTTAACAATGTTGTAGTATATATTTGAAAGATAGCAAATAAATCTTTAAAAATTAGAATTAGATCAGAAGAAAAAATACTTGTAACTATATCTGATGATGAATGTCAACTAAAGCCATTGTCGTAATCATTTTCAAATATATACATGTATCAAATCATCATCTCATACACCTAAGACTAATACACCATTAAGTTAATTATACCTCACTAAAAATAAAATTAAGGAATTGAAATGTCTCAATGTCAAATATGCATTTTATACAAAGGAAAGCAATAAAGGAGTAGAGATTAGACACTCTCCTGTGTCCACAGAAACCTGTTTCTGTGTTTCATTTATCCTGGTCACTTCAGTACATACTTGTGTTTATTGCAAAAGGAAAGTGAATTCACATACTTAGGTTTTACATTCTAATACACTATGCAGCTTCTTCATGAGATGTGTTTTATGTATCATAAGTTCAGATAAAAGCTTATATGAGGATAAGTGGAAGACATGTATTTATCCCTGATTGAAGAGGGCAAAGCTGATGGATGGTATTCCTTCTAAAATTATTCCTTTCTGTTGTCATGTTTTTCATGTTTTTAGGATTCAGGTCATACATTCTTTATCTGCCTACATTTTGACCATAGCATCTCTTCTTTTAAAAACAGTATATTAAGTATATAATTTATTTAAAGCTGTCTTGTGACTTACCTAAGGAATGGATCAGTAACATTATTCGTGTCAAATGAGGAGGAAGGAAATGAAGAACCAATTATGAATGGATGAATGGATGGATGGAGAGAAGTAAATGAGATGAATGTGGGAATGAATTATTCAGAATTCTAGTCTATTTAGGAAATTGTCATATGGTATAGAGATGGTTGCTGAATTCACATAAACTTTACAAGTAAGTGAGTCTAACCGCCTGCTTCTCTGGCATTCACTGATTCAGTTCCTGTTTTTCATGTGAGTAGGAAGCATGTTATCAAATACACTTAAATATTTATCACACCTTAGATCACAAATTCAGAAAATGAAAGATGGCCACATGTTGTTAAAAAACACTTTAGAAAAATGTGATCTGTCTTTTGCATAGATTTTCAAAAAGTTTTCTAACCTAACTTGCTTGGAAAACCTTTCCTACATTATCTCATTTAATCCACAGTGAAATTAAATCAGGTCATTCTGATGAAAAAAGGCAAACCAAGATTTAAATCAGAATCCAATTCCAAACACCACACTTTACAAATTAACATCCTTCCCACAGGATGGGGAAATATTTGCTCTTTCTAAATCATTTATAAGAACAGGAAATGCAGTTGATATCTCCCCTACTGATGAGTATTACTTTATTTTTTTCAATTCAATTATACCCAAATGCAGAACTCCCCACAGGCATCTTAGTATAGCCTATTATTTGTTGTTAATATGTAGTATTCAATGATCACATTTTGATAAATTAAAACCTACTCCTGGGTATTGTAAGCTATTATTTGAAACAGGGACATGCATTTCATCAATAAGAATTTCATGCTTCCCAGATGGTGATGACCTGTAACATAATAAAGAAAGTGATGTAAGATCTTAAACCATTCTGACTCCTGTGTATGCCCTAACAGAGGCTGCCTCCATGAGCCAGCAGATATATGCCCCACTAATTTAGGGAGAGTTGTTTCCATATAGAAACAATATTTGATTAATGATTGTCTAGGAGTAGGGAGGCGGGAAAGACCAATAATGATGTGGGTTTACTTTTTGAGTGTACAATCTGTTGTAAAGCTAGATTATAGTGGTGGAATGCAAACTATTGGGTGAAATGTATGGCATGTGAATTACATCTCCCCAAAGCTATGAAAACATCATAACCCACATCACTTAACTATAATATTTGTACTTCGGTTGATGTCATAGTGTTAGTTCATTAACCTGAACTTGTACAAAAAGACTTTCTATGGAATAGAAGTTAGGACTGTGCTCAACTTCTCAAGGTACTAAGAATACTCATTCTACCTGCTTGAGCTCTAGATTTTGAATGCTTGAGTCAGATTCCCAACTCTGCCACTTAGCTAGCTGAGTGGCATCTAATCGGCTAAGCTGTCTAATTCTCTATTATTCATGATTCTCACTTTTCTATAAAGTGAACATAATAACATCATCAAATTCTGCCTTTATTTTTCCAGTCAAGTGGAATATGAATATAAAACATTAACTGCCTTCCTTATTATACTCAGTTACAACCAAAGAAAGGATGGCATTTGACATCTTTTAATGAACAGCATTACTTGCTTCTTAACCCTCAGGTTTTTTTGTTGTTGCTGTTTTTATGAGACTAACTATAATGCTATAAAAATACAGACCTTAGGGGGTTATTATAAAATAGGACAAACCTAAAAACAGTTATGGGGGAAGTTTACTACAAGAGAATAGCAATCAGGTTATCAGGGAATAGTCTAAATATCTCTCAAACTAGGAAAAGTAATAACTGGCCCCTTATCTCAAAAGGATAACAAGAATATCCAGGGGTCATAAGATAGGATGAATTTCTTGAACATCCCTTGAATAGATTCATTTCAATCAGGACATCCATTTCTTTTCTTGAATATACAGCCACAATGATTTTTTAAAAACATTCTATGTCTGTCATACTTTCTCCATGTTGTTTGCTTTACATTCTTATTTCAATTGTATTATTTCCCAAGGATGCAGTCCCACAAAACTTTCACTACCTTCTGCTGTGTGAAGACAAGTGGGAAAACTGCAGTCGATGAATCAAGAAGCAGGATCTTCCCAGACATCAAATCTGTTGTTCTAGATCTGGAACTCTGCAGTCTTCAGAACTGTGAGAAATAAATATTTGCTGTTTAAACCAAAAAGATAGAGAAATAGGTAGGGTGGGTGAGTGGGTGGGTAGATAGATAGATAGATAGATAGATAGATAAGATAGATAATTTGTTCCTTCTAAATCATGTTTGTTCTCGGTACACCAACTGTTAAACACTTTTCACTTTATTTCATTTTTCTTGTTTATTGTCCTGTAAAATACCATGTTCTTCTTATTTATTTTTATGTCTCAGAAAGCTAACAGTGTTTCTATTATGAAATAGATGCTTTAAAGATGCTTGTTAAATTAATATAGGTGCTAACTTGGGTAAACTGATGAGAACCTGATGAGTGTATTACTCATTTTTAAGAGTTAAAGTTTATCTTTCAAAAAGAAAAAATGAAAAATCTACAAGAAAAAAGCAAAACTCAAATGCTCTCATTGGGTGTAAGGGTTCAAGTAGAAATTTCCTGCACTGTTGTTGAGAGTACAAATGATAACATTACGTGGAGAAACAGCCTGCCAGTTTCTCAGGAAGAGTGCTCTCTATACCACTCAAACATCTGAGTTTTAGATATTTATCTAGTAGACATAAAACCATGTAGTCACACCAAAATCTTTCCATAATTGGTCATAAAATGTTTACTAATCATAGCATTTTTGAGATAGAAATGATGTGTTATAATTCACCAGTTCACTTGTTTTTCACCCAAGTGCAGAATCCAGTGGTGTTTAGTATCCTCACTGAGTTGTGCAAAGATAATTGCAATCAATTTTAGATCATTTTTCTGAATCCTTAAACCTAATACATTGTGGAAGTCACTCTCCACCCCTCAATGCTCCCCCACGCCCTGGGCAGCTGTTATAGCTGTGGCTTTTCTGAACATTTCCTATGAACAGAATATCAATGATCCATGACCTATGATGACTGAAATCTTGCATTTTGCCTAATCTTTTCAAAAGCATATAGTACTATTTTATTCTCCTTTATTGCTGAATTTTATTCCATTTGTGATTATATCATGCTGCTTATCCATCCTTTAGATGATTAATATTTGGATCACTTGCAATTTTTGGCTATAATGAAAAATTCTGCCGAGAACATTCATGTACACAGTTTTTGTGCACAATATTTTTATTATGAGCATATATGTAGGAGTAGAGTAGCTAGGTCATATGGTAACTGTATGTTTAACTCTTTCAAGCACTATCAGACTTCTTTCCAAGTAGCTGCACCATTAAATATTCCCACCAGCAGCATATGAGGGTTCTAATTTCTCTACATCCTTGTGAATTATTATTATTTGTGTTTTTTCCCCCTTATAATCATGATAGTTGTTATAAAGTGTTATCTCCATGTAGTTTTGATTTGCATTATCTTGATGAATAATGATTGGAGATATTTTTCAGTGATTTTTGGTCAGTTGTATATATTGTCTGGAGAAATGTCTATTTAGTCCTTTACCAATTTTTAATTTGGTTATCCGGCTTTCATAGTTGAGTTATGAGACATCTTTCTATAGTCTGGATAGAAATCCTTTATGAAATGTCTGATTTATAAGTGTTTCCCTTTCCTATGTGTCTATTTTTACTTCCTCCATTGTGTTCATTGAAGTATAAACTTTTTTTTTATAAAATTCAATTAATCTATTTTCTTTCATTGCTTGTGTTTTGGTGGTTATATATTGCAAGAAATTACCCATCCAAGGTCATGAAGGTGTATGCCTATGCTTTACTCTAAGATTTTTAGTTTTCACTGTGATAATGAGGCATTTGATCAACCTTGCTTAGTTTTTGTATGTGGTGTCAGGTAGGCATGAAACTTTATTTCATTGCATAAAGATGCTGAATTGTTTCAGCACAATTATTTGAGAAGATTATTTTTCCCTTTGAATCTTTTTGGCACCTGTGTTGAAATCAGTTGACTGTAGACATATAGGTTTATATCTATACTATCAATTCACTGATCTATTGGATTTTCAGAAAAGTCACGACGTAGTGTTTCTATGATTTCTATGCAAAAATGTGTTGTGACTTTTCCAATATCTCAATATATTACTACCATTAAGTCACTATCCTACTGTCTTTATTACTTTATAATTTTAACAAATTTTGACTGAGAATCATGAGTCCTACAACTCTGTTCCCTTTAATAAATTGCATACATGCTATTTTACACAACTGTCTTTTAAAATCAATTATAAGGAGGAAAAGGGAATACGTATTTTTGCTGTCATTGCTAACTACACAATTAATTTTACCAAGGTCTTTGCTTTTTCACATGAATTTGAATTACTATAATTACTGTTTGGTGTCAAATGCTTTCGTCTTAAAGATGTTCTTTAATATTTCTTTTAAAGTTGGTCTAATATCAAATGCATTATCTCAGTTTTTATCATACATGGTTTTAGTTTGTCTTCTTTTCTGAAAATTTTTCCGTAGTTTGAATTCTTGGTTGACAAGTTCCCTCCCCCCCAACACTTTGAATATTTCTTATCAATGTTTGCATCTTTTCTCACCACAAGTTAGCTTCTGATCTTGTTGGAGTAATTAACTGATCTCTTTCTTCAAGATTTTCTCTGTCTTTGGCTTTGAACATTTTTCACTTTATATATCTGTGTATGTGTCTCTATATTTATCTTGATTTCTTTGATTTTTTTCCTTTTTTTTTTTTAATTATTCTTTTGAGTCCTAGCACAGTACTCTTTTTTTTTTTTTTAATAGAGGCATTTTATTTATTTATTTGTTTGTACATGCACTGGGTACAGTCAGAAGCGCGGGAGGGTGAGAGAATTCACCAGAGCCAGAGCAGGGAGCAGAGCAGGCAGAAGGACCAAGGTACACTGCTGAGGGGAGCAGCGGGCGACAGGAGAGGTCTGCGCGCCATGTGGGACCCTCGTCCGGTGGCCGGGGAGCAGCCGGGGATTGAACCGGCACCGCAGAGGCCGCGGGCAGCTTCGCAACCCAGCGCTCAACCGCTGCGCCACCGGGGAGGCCCTGATTTTTTTTCTTAAAAATCAAATTTGGTGGGGCCTCCCTTATGGTGCAGGGGTTAAAGACAGTGCTATCAAGCTATTTCTAGCCACTGCAGCATGAGTTCTATCCCCAGCCAGCCAGGGAGCTACCCACATGGCGCAGCAGCTCTCTCCTGCCTCACCCACTGCTCGCCTCAGCAGTGTATTTCAGTTGATCTGCCTGTTCTGCTCCCCATTCTCTCTGGTGAATCCTCTCACCCCTCGCAACTCTGGCTTACACCCCAATTCTTATATGCATAAATAAATATTTTTTTGAAAAATCAAATTTGGGAAATATTAACTATTCATTTGTGCTTTTTCTAATAGTTTTCTACTCTTTCCCTTTTCTTATTTTTTTCTGGTCCTTCCTTCCATTATGCTTATATCAGTAAGTTCATAGAGTTCTGCCTTTCACTGTTGATTTTCAAATTTTCTTTATTCTATTTTCCTTCCTGCATTTTGTGCTGTGTGATCCCTTTCAATCTACATTCAGATGGACTGATTCATTTCTACCATGTCTTTCTACTGCTGAGATTCTCTAGTGAGTTTTTCATTTCAATTGTTTTATTTTGAACTTTAGAAAATGATTCCTATTTAAAATGATTTCTATCTTTTTATTGATGCTCTCTAATTGCATCAAAATTATCATCAAATCTTCCTTTACTTCCGTAAGTATGACTTTTTTTAGAACAGACTTACTAGTGGTTGCTTTAAATCTTTGTCGTATCTGCTCTCAGCAAGCTTTTAACTTGGGTTGCCTATATTTTTCCATCCTGTTCATAGGGGCACATTCACTGTTTCTTTTTATTATACCTGTTGTTGAAACCTGAACATTAAAAATAATTTGTGGGGCTTTCCGTGGTGACACAAGGAGTTAAGCATCAGCACTGTGAAGCTATCCACAGCCACTACACGAGTTCGATCCCTGGCCAGGGAGCTGACCCACATGGCTCTGCAGACCTCTCCTGTCTCCCTGCTGCTCCCCTCAGCAGTGTATTTCAGTCGATCTGCCTGTTCTGCTCCCCCCTCTGTCTCTGGTGAATCCTCTCACCCCCAACACCTCTGGCCTGTACCCCAGTTCTTGTATGCATAATTAAATATTAAAAAAATAAAAATAACTTGTGGATGTGCCATTCCCCCTCCCATCTAAGCCGTGTTGCTTACTTGCTTATTTGTTTTCTATCTTGTACTATTTTAGTGAAGTCTATTTCTACCTCTGTGTGAAGCCTATTTACATCATATCTCCACAGGTGTATCTTTCTGTGTATTCACCGTCACCCAGGGATTTCTCCAGAGGTCCCTTTTTCTGCTTCCTACATTAATTTTTTTTTTTCAGTTTGTTTTTTCCTACTGGTCCATGAAGTAGTAGAGCTAGTGTTTGACTGAGCTGGAAAGAAGGGGAGGGTTTGAACAGATCTAGGTAAAAACACCGGAGACTTCCAAAGCTTTATCCAAGTTTCAGTCATTTCTCTTGAGTAAATGCTTTTCAATATAGTTTTCAATTCAGAATTCTGGGTGTTTCCATTATTTTTTTATATGTATGGTTTTAATAGTGTTGGGCAGGGAATTTGCTGAGTACCTTCACACACCGTTCCAGAAATCCTGCCTCCAAAGTGAGATTTTATAGATTGTATTCTCTAATCCAATACTGGTTTATGAACCAGTAAACAGTCTTTTTTGTGTCGTGTTTCCTTTGTTCAACATACTATTGGAGCATTTCCTCTGCATTTTTAATAGTAGCTGTAGTTTTGTTCTATGGAAGATTTATGAAAATTTTAACATAACCAAACAATATTTTAATATCGTTTTTGGGTAATTAGGAACCATATGGCACTATCTAAAATATACATAGGTTTTGGCGTCACTGTGTTTAGATGGTAACTACCAGTAGGAAATTAAAGAGAAAAGTATTGTCTTGAATACAGACATGTATTCAAGCTCCGAGGCTCATGGGGGCATGGCCTGCTTTGCTCAAGTGCCAGGTCCTGCCCCACCACTTGTGGG